CCCCCCCCCTTGCGTGTGTGTGTTGTGGAAACTGAGCAATAAATCAAGAGAAGAAATAATAGAAGACAAATCTCCCTGTGGAAGAATGACCCTACTTACCACTTTGCTACCATTTTTATAAGTGTGTAGTAATTGGGGAATAGGTTAATTTGTTGTCACCTGACAAGTGGCTAACAAATTTTGGCGCCGTTGCCGGGGAAATTTGATCTCTTCTATCTTTTCAAACTGTCATACTAGGTCTTTTTAAGTTGTTTTTGTGAACATCCGTGTATTTTATACACTGATAAAAATTTACCAAAGTGCAAACTCTTCTCTTCTGCTGTGACTCACTGTTGAGTTGGCACTAACCCTTGTTTTAAGTGTTGTGTCAGTATCTGCCTTTTGATGCAGTTAAGAAGTGGTTTGGAGACCACAAGGGTAAGTGTTGATTTAAATTTGGAGAATCAGGTCAGTATATCTGAGATTGCTTCTTCTTTTGATTCTGAATTAGAAGCTGAAACTGAGGTAATTGTTTCTCCTGTCAAATTACATAATAACATGGCAACTTTAAGGGAACTAGCTGCACCTGACCTTTAGACTCAGCCCATGTCCATTACTTATGCTGTTTTGGAAAAACCATTGAAATTAAACTCTGGATTTTTGAATATGCTTCCCAAGTTTCATGGCCTACCTGGTGAAGACCCTTATAGACATGTTAATGAGTTCCTCATAACATGTGCAGCCATGGAACCTGAAGGAGTTCCTCAAGAACAAATCAGACTTAGGGCCTTTCCCTTTTCAGTGATAGATAGAGCAAAAGATTGGCTGTACTATATGCCTCCTGGATCTTTTACAACCTGGCCATCACTGCATAGGGCATTCTTAGAGGAATTCTTTCCTGCCTCTAGAATAGGATCTATTAGGAAGGACATCTGTGGGATAAAACAAATGGGGAATGAATCATTTTCTGAATATTGGAAGAGATTCAATAAACTCTGTGCTAGTTGTCCTCAGCATCAAATCTCTGAACAGCTGCTCATCCAGTACTTCTATGAAGGGTTATCCCTAATGGATAGAAGTATGGTAGATGCTGCTAGTGGTGGTGCTCTAGTTACTAAGACCCCAGAGGAAGCTAGGAATTTGTTCAATCTTATATCTCAGAACACACAGCAATTTGGACTAAGGATGAATGAACCAAAAAAGGAAACTGAATCTCTTGCAGCCCTCACTGATCAGATTGCAAA